CCTGCCCAGCCTACAGGTTGGAGAGCACCCATCACCAAGCCGACACCCCGCCCCGCGCCCCCCACCCGCCTTTCCCAAGCCAGAATCACAAGTCAAAGATGTGTATTGTTCTACAGACACTTCTGAAAAGAGATCTAATTGAGAAAATATACAAGGCATTTAAGAGTTTCATCTCCAGCAAGCACCGAAGTCTGACTGGAGGCGTCGGAGCCCTCCTCTTCAGGGCTCAGGGCTGAGAAGGTTAGCACATCGAATCATCAGTAAAAACATGCAAAAGTGAGAAGGAAACGGAAAATAACGCTGTGTTCCCCCAAAGCAGAGGGGGACGGAATTTCAGAACAAGGAGGCAGGGTGTACAAGTATCAGGTGGCTCTCCCTCCCCTCCCCTCCCCCGGTTTTCCTCTCAAACGCCCCGGAGCAGGAGAAAGCAGGGAGCCCCGCCCACTCGGCAGGACCCACAGCGCCTCCCCGCTCCGTGCTCAGCCCACGGGGCTGCCCGTGGACAGGAAGAGATCTCCCCACTTCTGCCCTGCTCCTTCTCTGGCTGTGGCCGCGGGGGACCCCGCTTGTGCTCCTGGGGGGCCAAGGCCCCCAGCCCTGTCTCCTTCCTTCTTTGGTTCCACCCAGAGATTGTGCTTGACGGATTCATCCCACCCCCCAAACTCCAGGCTCCCACTGGTGGGCTGAAGGCACTGACAGGAGTCCTGGGGAGACCCCCAGGACAGCCACCTTCCCTTATGGGTACATTCCCTCCAGCCTCAGCTCAGGCCCTGGACAGGGGTGAAGTGTGCTGTGCACGGAAAAAGCCTCTCAGACCTTTCTCAGCTGTGCAGACGTTCCTGAACCCCACTCCACCCCCCGCCCCCAGCCCGCCCCTCGCCAGAGCCCCAGCATGCCTGGTCCTTCCCTCCAGTCCTGCCCATTGGGCTGCCAGTGCAGCTGTGGGCCAGGCCCCCGGGGACCTGACCTCAAGATGGTGGTCACAGAAACCATCTCGGGGCGCCCCCTCCATCCCCCAGACCCAGGAGGTCAGCAGAGGGTGAGGCCTTGAGAGGTCACAGCTCTGGTACAGGGAGGCGGGCAGGGCTGGAGAGAAACGGGAAGACACATCACATCTATGGAAAGGCGTCCAAAGTACAAGCTAAGCGAGGGGAAGGGCCAGAGTGGCCAGAAGAGAAAATGGAAGAGGGAAGGGGCGGGGCCTGGAGGGAGGGGCGGGGCTTCACGCCCCCCCGCAGATGAGCGTCTCGACCACGAAGGTGTTCTCGAAGTGGCGGATGGCGTTGCAGTTCTTGGCCCCTCGCTTGTTGATTCCTGGGAGAGAACAGAGAAATCCCAGTGAGGCCTGTGTCCTGGCCTAGAACTGGCTGGGCCACCAAGGCCACCAGCCTCAGAGCCTGAGCAGGGCCTCAGGACCCGGGCCGGGGAGGAGGAGGCCCAGGAAATGAAACCCAGATTCACCCGGAGGCAGCGCGGTACAGCGGCATGAGCTCAAAAGCTGGAGTCAGACATCCCAGCTCTGCCACCTTCTTGCTGTCAGACCTCAGGGGTGCTTCTTAACCTCTCTGTGCCTCCGTTTCCTCATCTTTAAAAGAGGCGGCAAGAATAATGATGACAAGGATGAGGATGATGGTAACTTACACTCTCTTAGGAGGACATAAAGAGTGTAAAGCAGGGGGCTTCCCTGGTGGCGCAGTGGTTGAGAGTCCGCC